TCTTTCCCTTTGTGTTTGTCATTTTGGTGAACTACAAGAAGATGGTGATTCCCTGACATAGGGGAACTTTGTTTTGTGTCTCACCGATCTGTGAGTTCCTCCAGTATATGAAGCGTGTCTCTTTCATTTCTCAAACCCCAGCAGCTACTACTATGTCTACACATAGTACGGCCTCAGCAAGAATCTGTTGCCTAAAAGGCATCAACCATTAGTCTCAAATTCTATCTCTGAGCTTTGGAGAAGGCAGGTAGGTGGAAAAGTAGATCTGAGTCCACACGGGCATTTCAGCCTGACAGTCAGCATGGCTGCCAAGGACAAGAGCATGGAGAAAAAGAAACAGACCTCCGTGGAAAGACTGAGAGCAGATGAAAGATGACAGAAAGCAACTTTGAGACAATGTACTTTCAAAGAAGCCAGGAAGAATTCAAAGAAATTGAAATGCCTTACAGGTGGAGAATTAAAAAATTGTGGTTAGCAAACAGCTGACTCTGAGGCTAGTTTATTTTTAAGTCTGAGAGGAAGGAAATGACAGTCATTTTGTAATAGTTTTCTAAAACTTGGGAGACTTTTTTTTTTTTTTAAGAATTATTTTATTTATTATTATTATTATTATTCAGTTTGAACAGAGAAAGATGGGGGAAGAAAGTAAGCCACCAGGTCCAGGACTCAAAACGCAGTTGGCCATATGAGAGTCCAGCATTCGACCACCGTGCCACCTGTGGGCCCCAAAGTTGGCAGGCTTTCAAGTGTAGGTCCTGTATGCTTCGGGGAGTGCTAGGGTGAGGGGGTCTTTTAGGATAGGTAGGGACCAGGGAGAAGGGAAAGTGTCCGTCTCTAGGAGAGACTACGTCTCTGGGAGGTCATAGTGAAGTCAAGTTTTATCTTTATTCACAATATGAGATAAAAAATTCAAATAAAACATCCATCTTTGCATTTCATTATTTCATTTAAGTTGCTAAGGAAGGATTAATAATGTTTTTACTAGGTAGACAAAATTACCAGCAGCAAGTTTTCATCTGAAATATCTCCTCCTTGCACTTGAATCTCAAAAGGGCTCCACCACCCATAGAGACTGAATAACCGGTTTTCCGAGTTTTTCTTGACATGGTTCAGGCTATTACAAATGCCTGAGATCCCTATATCCTTTTAAAATGAAAGAGAACATCAATATCAATATTTGAGAAAGTAATTTAAAAAAAATAATCACTTTTGCACTTTTTAATAAATGTTTTTAAACGAATTTGAGGAATTGAAAACTCCTAAGTGCTCAAATGGGCCACAAGAATCTAACAAGATTTAAAAAAAAAAAAGAATCTAACAAGATAAAAATTTGCATTCACAACATATGGCCATGTGGGGTTTTCCTCTTCACTGGAGAAAAACAGACCCCAGCAGTTGGTGGAAGGAATGAATCACATAACCTTTCATAGAAGAGTTTTTCACACTTAGGTGGACAAGATCCATTTAAAGACTCTATTACAGGATATACCTTAAAGAAGTAGCTCTACAATATGGGACTCAAAGGGTGTCATCTGTACAATAAGACTGCGTGTGTGTGTGTGTGTGTGTGTGTGTGTGTGCGTGTGTGTGTAGAAGAACCTGGACAAGATGCTAAGTGTCCCTCCTGCTCTCAGGTCATTTCATAATGATGTCTCCTTTTCACACTCTGTCCCTAGAGGAATAAAAGCTGTGAACTTATGCTTTGGACACGAAAATAAAAGAGAACAAGCAGGAGACCAGCAGGTAGCATGCTGGTTAAGGCACTGGACACTCCGACATGACCAACAGGGTTCAAGTCCTGGAACTGGCGGCTTGCTTTCTCGCTTTCTCTCTTTCTGTGTCTCTCTCTAGACAAATTAAAATAAATAAGAATGAATAAATAGAACTTAAAAATAAATATTTTTTATGGAGAGGTTTTTGCTATAGGGCACGTGCGCTCGCCAGAAAGAGAGAGACAGAGAGACAGAAAGCGAGAAATCACCCCCACGGGGAGATGGCCATGCCAATCCCTTCTCCTCTATTCTACTCTTGGGATCTTAGGCATGCACGTACCCGCGATCGGCGTGAGTTTAAGCCACCGTATCCGGGACTCGAACCACGGTAGTCACAGCCATTACTCCATCTGCTGGTCCCCAAAATAAATAATTCTTTAAAAAAAATAAAGACCAACTTTGCCAAGAGGATATAAGGGCAGGTGGCATGATGGTTAAAGGCAATGGATTCTCACATGAACAACCACAGTTGGAGTCTTGAACCTGGAGGCTTGCTTTCTCACTTTCCTTTTCTCTCTCATCTCTGTAAGATCAAATAATAATAACTAATGGAACTAAATAAATAAACAATTATTTAGAAAAAAGAGAGAGAGAGAAAAGGGATTCTGAAAAATTCAGGGATCAAAGGCCGGAGCTCTTCAGCGCCACCAGCTATGCCTCGGTGACCAGGAGCCACAACACAGGGACCAAGATGGCGTCAGCACGCAGAGCTCGCGGCGCCCCAGCGACTCCGCACTGCGGCAGCCCAGGCGAAGCCGCCCCCTATTGGTCGACTGCGATGAGGTCATCGTGGGGGCGGGCACCGCCGGCGGCGCGGGGGCGGGGCTCTTCCGGCGCACGCGCGTCGAAAGGCTCCTGCCCAGAGCTGCGGAGGCTGCGGGCTTGGCTGCTGCGGCCGCGGTGGCGCGGGGCCGACAGCCGGAGGTGAGCCGGGGCAGTGGGTACGGCGCGGCAGGGGGTGACCTTTGAGGGCCAGAAGAAATCCTTTTATTAGCCCCCCTGGCTTGTCAAAGGAATTAACAGGGATTTTTAGGTCTCCTAAAGAAATCGGGGGTTCATCCCCTCGTGGGGCACCCCGCTGTGGGAAGAGGAACCGCAGTCTCACTGCCCTTTGAAGGCCTCGAACTCCTTCCCCCATTTAAGGGATAGGCGGAAGAACCGGAGGTTATTGGGAAGGCAGAACTTTGGGGGGTTCTTAAAGGGTTTCCCATTTTGAGGATTTCCCTGCCTTGTTTTCCTCACCCTTGGAGGTAGGTGTGTCTGGGTCCAAGGAATTCCTGCTTTCTCGCCGGGTGGACAGGAAATGGAGCAGGTGAATATCTTGGTAGGAGGCGGGGACTGGATGACAGCCGTAAGATTCTTCGAGGCAGGGCGCGGAGAATGGGGAGAGACTGTATTTGGAGTCATCTTTAGCAGAATTGCTCTTCCTTCATATTTTGTTTGCCTAAGAGCCTTTTGGCCGAATTCGTTTTCTCTTTGGCTGCACTGGGATAGAGATGTTCCAGGGAGACCTGTAATCATTAAAGAACCGGAGGAGGGAGGGTCATGGGACGCTATCATTATTGGCAAGCCTGCACTGTGCTGGTCAGGCATAATTTTCTGTGTTAGAAGTTGTGGAATTTATCCTTGTTGAAGGGAGGGAGAGTGGTTGGTAACAGCTCATTTGGGTGATTCAGATAGTCACAATCTTAAAGCCAATCTACATAATCTCTTGAGAAATCTTTGACTATATGTGAACATGTTGTTTTGCTGCTTTGAACATCAAATGCACAAAGGTTCTGTTGTTCAGATTTTTCAAAATGTCTCCCAGCTTTGCGCAAGAATAAATCTTCCTTTGAAGACAGTATCACCCATCAGTACTGAATAGGCATGCCCTTAAGACACTAAAAATACTGTACACTCTGCTGAGTTTAGATACTGTCCGGTCTGTGCCTTCCGTTAGCTGATTCAAGATAAATACTATAATTGCAGTTTCAGGACCACTGATAGCGCCAATTGTCTTTGAAACCCGGCTACGTTAAGACCGCCCTAAACCGAAACCTTTATTGCTCCTGCTTGAGATTTGAGCAATGGAGGGATGATACTAGTCTTGAAGGTAGGGGAGAGAAACAACGCTGCAGAGGTGGAAAGTGTATTCTCTGTGGCTTGATAAAAATGCTTTGTCATGATCAGTATGTTCCTGTCATGCTTGGTTTGAAATTGAGCTTAATAGGCTCACTGGTTCCTGTTTTAGATGATGGTTATTTGTTTGGATGCCTCGGAGAGAGAAATGGTATTTTCTGAGGAGTTTGGAAGGTTAAACCTTTGAATGAAGGCATAGCTTTAGGGTCGTGCTGCCACCGTGGCTATTTGAAGTGGGCATTGTCAGGGGCTGGCAGGTGGCGTGGTGGTTAGGGGTTCTGGACTCCCACATGGGCGAACGCAGTTCAAATCCCAGACCTAGTGGCTTGATTTCTCTCTCTCTTTCTCTCTCTCTACTCCTTTCTGGCCAAATTCAATACGTAAATGAAGTTAAATAAAATGATTGTTTTTAAAAAACGAGTGGGCATTGTCAGTGGAGGGGAGGAAACTAGTCCCAAGGCAGACATCTTTTATGAGAGGGTAATTAAGGTCTCCTGTTTGTTCCCTGCACAAGCAAAATATGGTTGTGCCGCCTCCTAATATTGTGTCCAGGGTATTTAAAGACCCGTTTGGGGTTCCAGTTCCTGTCTTTAATCTGGATACGTTCTTATGTGTTGAGTTGCTCAAAATATTGTCATTCGATCCTGATGTTGACTGCAAAGGAAATGCCTTTTCATCTGGCACTATGTGGACAGGATTCAGTAACTGCCTTTGCACTTTCTCTTTGCCATTTTTCCAAACAGGATGTGAAAACAGTTGTCAAGGACCTGTCAGCATTGGGTAGAAGAAATAGAAATGCAAATTGAAAGAGCCATATGGAAGGGGTGTCTTTTGTTCTTAAGTCTCTCAGTAATTTTCAAAGTCATGTCATTTTCTCTTTCTCAGGTTGGAGAGAAATCCAGGACTCAGCTGACTAGTGCTTCTTGCCACCATGGGGGAGCTTTTCCGAAGTGAGGAGATGACGCTGGCCCAGCTTTTTCTTCAGTCAGAAGCTGCTTACTGTTGCGTCAGTGAATTAGGAGAACTAGGAAAGGTTCAGTTTCGCGATGTAAGTAGTTCCAAGGCTGCTTCTTCATTACCATTGAATTCTTATGTTTCTCATCACAGCCAGTTGCCTTATAATGAATGTTTCTGTTTCTATTTGCAAAAATCACATTATAGCGCTGGCTTGTTGGTCGAGCATACACTTTAAGTTGCCTTTCTAGGTGATAATGTCATACGCTAGCCCTTCCATTCTTTTTGTTAGCTCTCCCTTTGAGAACCATCCTAAGCATTCTCAAGGTAACTGCTTGGGATACAGGGAGATTTTCACTTGTTTTGGGGCTCCTTAGCACCCATGACAGGATTTTTTTTTAATTGCTGCTGTGGGGCCAGCAGGTGGTGGAGTGGTTAAGGTGCTAGACTCCCAAATACCTGACCACAGTTCAAATCCTGGACCCGGCAGCTTGAAAATCTCACTGGGTGCATGTGCATGCCAAAGTCCCAGGAAGAGAATGGGGCAGAAGGGATTACAGCATGACTATCCCCTCTAGGGGGTGATTTCTCACTTTCACTATCTCTCTCTGGTGAGTGCATGTGCCCTATTGCAAAAATCTTAAAAAGAAATTGTGTAGTTCTTCCATACACTAGAAGGGGTGTGTGTGTGTGTGTGTGTGTGTGTGTGTGTGTGTGTGTTGGGGGCAGAGTTGTTAGTTTGTTTTACAAAATCTGAGACATCCAGCTATAGCTATATATTGGGTCATCATTCACCACACCTCTTTCATACAGTCACTGTAGTCGTGGCTTTATACTGATCAGTGTGTGTAGTGATTAAATCCTCTCTCCTCCACTATGATCTAAGCAACATGAAGACAGGGACAGTCTCTGTCTTTGTTCACTATTGTATCTTTTTATTTATTTATTTTTTTGAGAGGTTTTTTACTATAGGGCGCATGCACTCGCCAGACAGACAGAGAGAGACAGAGAAACAGAAAGCAAGAAATCACCCCCGAGGGGGGATGGTCACGCTGCAGTCCCTTCTCCTCCATTCTCCTCTCGGGATCTTGGGCACGCATGCACATGCACCTGGTGTGAGTTTAGGCCACCGGGTCCGGGACGCGAACCGCAGTCAACTACGTGGGAGTCCAGTGACATAGCCATTATGCTAACTGCTGGTTCCCAATTACTGTATCTTTTTGAAAAAGAATTCTTTTATTTTATCATGATTTATTTATTTTATTTTAATTTGACCAGAGAAGAACAGAGAGAGATAGAGAGAAAGTGAGAAAGCAAGCTACTAGGTCCAGGACTTGAACTATGGTCTGCCATATGGGAGTCCAGCACCCTTAACCACCACTCTACCTGCCACCCCTCGCTATTGTACCTTTTTTTCTTTTTTAAAAATTATTTTGTTCACTTATTTATTTTTTCTTTTTTCACATGGGTTTTTGCCAGAGAAAGAGAGAAAGAGAGAGAGAGTGCGCAAGCTGCCAGGTTCAGGACTCGAACCGTGGTCAGCCATGTGGGAATTCCAGTGCCTTAACCACCATTCCACCTGCCGCCCCTTCACTATTGTATCTTAAGTGTCCACATACAAGATATTTGATCAGAATTTGTTGGAATGAATAAGTGAATAAAAAAGGAGTGATCAGAAAGGGGTGAGATCAATCGTTAGGTTTCCCGAAATTGGTAAACTTTCAGAAAGTTCTCAACTGAACTGAAACTACACAAATATAATTCATTGATGTGGTTTTATTCCTCATTCTCTTTGAACCATTTTGTACTGTCTTTCTTCTAGTAATTTAGTTTTATTTGATTAGTCTTTTTCTTGTCCTCTACTAACCTGTATGATCTCCCCTGCCCTAGCCCTAAGTCTGTGCCCCAAGCTCTCCTCTCTGCCCTTTGGGTTAATTTGCTCTGTATCCACATCTTTCTTTTTCTCTCATCTAGTCTGCAATCTTCCATCTTTATTCAGTTGAGTCCAAAATCTGTATCTCTGACCCCAGCCTCCTAGACACCATTCCTACATTACAGCTTTCTAAGATTATTTTACCTGGCAGTTTTCTCTGCTTTCCAATCTCAGTATGTCTAAATCCCAACCCTTAACCTCTTCACAAACTATTTCATTACAACTCCTTAAACATGAGCTTATATATCAGTATCCTTCCAGTTTTATAGGCTTGAAACCCGTCAAACCTGCCACCTTATTTACTGTGCAACTGTTAGTTAATCTGGTTCTATGGCGTCTCCCGTCTTAACTTCTGCTCTCTTTATCCTGCCCCCCTTCTTTGGCCTTATGCTGTGTTTCAGTGATAAAAAAATGAACACCTGTGTTTCTACTTTCTACTTAAGAAATAAATTCCACCTACAATGGCATCTTCTTCACATCATTCTTCCATACCATTCTCCCTTCCTCCCCAGATGTAACTTAAGTAAGCTTTTTGCTTTTGTCATTCTCAAGTGTTTATCTTTTTACTTTTGTCATGTATGTATGTGTGCGTATATATATCACTAATCACTAATAAGTAATTTAATTTTGTATATTTTAAAACTATACATAGTATCATATGTATCTTTCTAGTGCTGTTTAAATTCTACATTGTTTCTGAGATTTGATCATGCTGATACATGTAGCTCAAATTTATTCTTTCAAATTGCTATACAGCTGTTATAAGCATGTACACAGTATGTCAGTTTCTAGTATTTATATTTAGGTTGATTTCAATTCTCAGTGTTATAATGCAGATTCATGTATGTATAGCTATGCAATAATTTCTCTAGGTTAGAGGTTCTCAAACTTTTGGTTTTATGACTATTTACACTCTTTTAAAAAAGTTTATTTATTTGATCCCATTTGTTGTTATTAATTTTTAATTTTTTAAAAAATGATTATTTTATTTGGGGCCTGCAGGTGGCATGGTGGTTGAGGATGCTGGATTCCCACATGGTAGACCACGATTCTAGTCCTGGTCTTGGTGGCTTGCTTTCTCACTTTCTCTTTCTCTCCCTCTCTCATCAAATTAAAAAGTTGAGACCAGCAGTTGGTGTAATGGCTATGTCGCTGGACGCCCATATAGTCGACCACAGTTCGAGTCCCGGACTCAGTGGCTTAAACACATGGGCGTGTGTGCATGTGTGCCCAAGATCCTGAGAGGAGAATGGAGGAGAAGGGGTTGTGGCATGGCCATCCCCCTGGGGGGTGATTTCTCATTTTCTGTCTCTATGTCACTCTGGTGAGCGCACATGCCCTATAGCAAAAACCTCTCAAAAAAAAAAAAAGTAACAATAACAAATGGAATTAAACAAATAAATAAATTTTTATAAAGGAATTATTTTATCTAACTTTATTTATTTTATTTTTAGTTTGATCAGAGAGGAACAGAGTGAGAAAGAGAGAGAGTGAGAAAGCAAGCCGCCAGGTCCAGGACTAGAATCATGGTTGACCATGTGGGAGTCCAGAGTTCTTAATCACCACACCATCTACCATACCCTTTTTAATTTTTTTTTTTTAGAGAGAATTTTGCTATAAGGCACATGTTCTTACCACAGAAACAGAGAGAGACAGAGAAGCAGAAAACAAGAAATCAACCCCTCCCTCCCCCCCAGGAGGGATGGCCACACCACAATCCCTTTTTTTCCATTCTCCTCTCAGGATTTTGGGTACACATGCATGCACACATGCCTGGTGTGAGTTTCAAGCTGCCAGGTCCATGACTCAAACCAGTCAACTATGTGGGAGTCCAGTGATGTAACCATTATGCCATCTGCTGGCCCCATTATTTTTTAATTTGACCAGAGAGAGAAAGGGAAGGTGAGAAATAAGCGTCTAAGGTCCAGGACTCAAACCATAGTCAGCCATGTGGGAGTCGAGCGCCTTAACTACCATGCCACCTGCTGGCCCCTTTCTTCATACTCTTAAAAATTGAGACCTCCCTCAAAGAGCTTTTACTTGTGTGAGTTAGAGCTATTAATATTTACCATATTAGAACTTAAAACAGATACATTTCAAGTATTTATTAAATAATTGAACAATGATAATAAGCCTACTACTTGTTATCATAAATAACGTTTTTATTAAAATATCTATATTTTCCAAAACAAAACAAATAGTGAGAAGAGTGGCATTGTCATTATATTTGCGAAAATATCTTTAATTTCTGAATTAATAGAAGACAGCTAGACTCTTGTATCTGCCACTGAGTTCAGTTGTGATACGCGTCCTGAGCTTCTGGAAGACTTCACTGAACACGCATGAGAGAATGAGAATGAAAGAGGCCAATGATGTCTTCACGTTATCGTGAAAATAACATTGACATTATGACTGGCTGCTCCTCTAGGGGTTGTCACTAAGCATTGCTGAGTATCATGCGTGTCTTTAACTCTGTTAGGTGCTGTCACAGTGTACTTTCACAGTGAACATACCTGACAGTCCATGCTCATATCAGTGTTGAGAGTTCCCCTCATTCCACATTTGTGTCTACAGTTCTTCTATGTTCAGACTTACATTTGTCAATGATACCATGAAATGGTATCTTGTTTATTTTGTATTTGTTCCATTAATACAGTTAGTATCTTTTTAAAAAAAATATATTTATTTGTTTATTATTATTATTATTATTTGAGAGGTTTTTGCTATAGGGCGCGTGCACTCACCAGAGAGACAGAGACAGAGACAGAAAGCGAGAAATCACTCCTCAGAGGGGGATGGCCACACCGCAATCCCTTCTCCATTCTCCTTTTGGGATCTTGGGTACGCATGCACACACACCCAGTGTGAGTTTTAAGTCACCAGTTCCGGAATGCGAACCACGGTCGACTACATGAGAGTCCAGCAACATAGCCATTAGGCTAACTGCTGGTCCCATATTATTATTATTATCTTCAGTTTGGTATAGGGCACGTGCACTCACCAGAGGGAGGCAAAGAGATAGAGAAAGGGAGAGTGAGAAAGTAGGCACCAGGTCCAGGACTCGAACCATGGTTGGCCATGTGAGAGTCTAGCGCCCTAACCATCAAGCTACCAGCAGGGCCCCAGCTGGTATCTTTTTATCTGTTTATTGGACAAGTGTAGGTTTCCTCTTCCAAAAAGTGTCCATTTGTGCCATTTGTTTCTCTGTTGGATTATTTATCTTTTGCTTATTGACTTTTGGGATTTGTAAAAGTTCCCCATGTTTTCTGAATGCTAATGTTTCTCTGACCCTTTACTGGTAACTTCTTCCAGGCTATGGCTTATCTTTCTTGTTTGTTTGTGATATATTTCATTCTATGTAAATTTTCTTTTTTTCTATTTTCCCCAAAATTTTTAGTTTGAAATTTATTTTTAAATTTTTTTACATAATTATTTTATTTTATTTATTTATTTACTTATTTTAATTTGACCAGAGAGGGATAGAGCAAGAGAGAGAGGGAAAGTGAGAAAGCAAGCCACCTGGTCCAGGACCTGAACCATCAGCCATGTAGGAGTCCAGCACCATAACCACTGCACTATTCACCAGCATAACATTTCATCATAACATTTCATAACCCCAACAAAAAGACCTGTACCTGGGGCCAGCTGGTAACATGATGGTTAAGGTATTAGATCCCACATAGCCGACTCCCCATTTTGAGTCCTGGACCTAGCAGCTTAAAAAACACACTGGGCATGTGTATGTGAGTGTCCAAAATCCCAAAAGGAGAATGGAAGAGAAGGGATCTTGGTGTGGCCAACGCCCTAGGGGGTGATTTTTCACTCGTTCTCCAGTTAGTGCATTTGCTCCATGTCAAAAATCCCCCCCAAAAATAAATAAATAAAAATTTACCACAGGGCACGTGCACTTGCCAGATAGAGGAAGAGAAAGTACCCACTGGTCAGGCGTGGTCATGCCACAATCTTTTGTCCATTTCTCTATCCTGTCAGGACAAGGCATGCATGCACACATGTTCACATGTTTCTCAAGTCCTCTGGGACTTGAACCATAGGGTCAGCCATGAGGGATCTGGCTGCCTTAATCACCAGGCCATGGAACTGTTCTGATGCCGAATTTTTGTTATTGTTGTTGTTGTTATTATTTTTTTAAACATTCAATTGCTATACATCATTTGGCTTGTAAAGAGAATTTACCCAACATGAAATACACTGCAGACCTGTCCAGTTGAGAATACCGTACACATTATCAACAGGTAATAAACCATTACCGTGTCCTACAAATGTCTTCCCTCTCTATTTTTTCTCCCTAATATCCTTCCCTCCACATTTCCCCTCTCCCACCCTCCTTCTACACGGTCTCTGGTGTCCATAACTTTTCAATGCTTTTATGTCCTCCAAGCTTGCTGAAAATTGTTTTTAATTTTTTTTCTTTTTTTGTTTCATGATAGAATATGTGTGCTCATATGAGAGTGAGAGAGAGAGAGTGATGAGAACCCTCCATTGGGCCATGATCTCTTCCTTGCAGTCCTCCCTCAGATTTTAGTTACTGTGTGAGTGCCTGGCTTTTTTTTTTTTTTTTTTTAGTATAACTGCGCCAGGGATTTGAACCACCATTGGTTAGGCTGAAAATCTTTTTTTTTTTTTAAATTATTTTATTTAACTTTATTTATTTTGTTTATTTATTTTAATTTGACCAGAGAGGGACAGAGTGAGAGAGAGAGGGAAAGTGAGAGAGCAAGTTGCCAGGTCTGGAACTTGAACCACAGTCGGCCATGTGGGAGTCCAGCACCCCCTAACCACCATGCTACCTTCCTGTCCTGAGACTGAAATTCTTTTATCTACTCGCTGGCTATATATATGTCTTTTGAGAAATACCTATTGTGGTTCTTTACCCATTTTTTAATCAGATTGTTTGTTTTCTTGCTGTTGAGTTGTTTGAGTTCCTTATATAATTTGGGATACTAACTCCTTATTGGATACATGGTTCGTACATATTTTCTCCCATTCTGTGAGTTTTCTCTTTGCTTTGTTGTTTCCTTTACTCTGCAGTTTTTAGTTAGACATGATGTCATTTATCCATTTCTGCTTTTGTTGTCTTTGCTTTTGTGGTCATATCCAAATAAACATTGTCTAGATCTTTTTTTTTTTTTAATTATAGCCATCCTAGTGGGTATGAAGTAGTTTCTCATTGAGGTTTTTCATTTGCATTTGCCTCATGGATAATGATATTAATTAAGTCATTTTTATAGTTTTTTTAAAATTTGTTAGAGGGCATATGTGCTTGACAGAGAGAAATAGAGAGACAGAGGGGGAGAGAGAGGAAGCACCCCCTAATGGGGTGTGATCACACCATAAACCCATCTCATCCATTTCTTCACCCTGTTGGGGTTTTGGGCATGCATGTACTGGTGCCTGTCATGTTTTTCAAGTCATCAGGGCTGGAATTTTATTTTTTTTTTTAAGAATTATGGGAGTTGGCAGGTGGTATGGTGGTTAAGGGCACTGGACTCCCACATGACTTGACCATGATTCAAGTCCCGGGCCTGGCGGCTTGCTTTCTCACTTTCCCTCTCTCTTTCTCTCTCTAACTCTGCAGAGAGAGAGAAAGAAAGTGAGAAAATAAGCCACCGGGTTTGGGACTCAAACCGTAGTCGGCCATGTGAGATTCCAGCACCCTTAACCACCCCACCACCTGCCAGCCCCAGTAGTCTATTATAAGTAGACTATACCACAATGTCTGTATTCATGTTCATGTTGATGAATATTTGGATCATTACCTATTTGGGGCTATTATGAATAAAATATCTGTAAACATTACTGTAAAAGTATTTTCTGAATATGTTTTTATTTTTCTAAGCAATTACCCAGTAGTGGAATGCTCAGTCCTGGGGTCAGCAGGTATGTGTTTAACTTTATGAGACACGGCCAGCAGTTTTCTGAAATTTTACTATTTAATACCATTGATCACAACAAACAGTAATCATTGGTTTGAATCTATTTCTTCTGGGAAGCTGAAGACTAGAGCATAGCTTGTTATTGTTATTAGCGGTTCTCTTAATCTCTAGTAATTTTTCTGTCTGAGGGGTTTTTTGTCCTTATTACTATATTGAGTTCTTGAAGAGAGAGCTGTTTAATGCAGGACTCTAAATACATAGAATTAAACTCATGAATTATGTTTAAATATTCAAAGCTAGGCCATAGCTTATTCTTTGTATTTGCCCCAGTACCTAGCACAATATCTGGTACAGGTTTGGTGCTCTGAAAATGTTGAGTAACTACAGTTCTTTATTTATTTGTGTCATTTTTACATATGCTCTCTTACTGCTTGTATTGATCTTTCTTCTTTATTAGATTGCAAGCTTCTTCATGAGTAAAGATTGTTTTATTTTTGTTTGTATTATCCAGAATGTCTGCCCTATTGCTTTGACAATTATTTGTGGTGTACTGTTGAATAAACTAAGAAGGTGAAGATCTGGGACAAAAGAACAAAAAAAAATTTACTGCTGTTTCTTCTTATGAAGAACAAGAGAAGTAAAACCAGACGCTGTCTGTGTTAGGAAAAATACCGAGCACCACTATGTTTTGCCTAATTGGCCTGCATTTCATTAACGTGTTACAGTAGCAGGAGAGGGAGGGTTTTTTTTTCTTTAGCTGGTATAACCGACCACAAAGCAGTTTCTGTGAATCTTCTGATAATTTTCATTAGCACTGCATCAGACATCAACACAAAGTAGATTTTTCTCTTTGCAGGATGTGTTGCTGGCAAACAGGAAATAGCTGCAGTATTTGAATGTTTGTTATTGTATTCTTATTTTTCAGTTAAATCCAGATGTGAATGTTTTCCAGCGGAAGTTTGTGAACGAAGTTAGAAGATGTGAAGAAATGGATCGAAAGCTTCGTATGTACATTTTGGTCTTGTATGATGTTCCTGTCGTGAACTATTTCTTTCTCTTGTATGAAAAACATAGTCTTTTTTTTTTTTTAAGAAAAAAATTATTATTTTATTTTATTTATTATCATTATTTTTTAACTATAGGGCATGTGTGCTCACCAGAGAGAGACAAGAGAGAGAGAGAAAGAGGGAAAGTGAGAAAGCAAGCCACCAGGTCTGGGATTTGAACCTTGGTCAGCCATGTGGGAGTCAGCAACGTAACCACCATACCACCTGCTGGCCCAAGACAAAGTTTTCTTTTCTTTTTTTTTTTTTTTTTGAGAGTTTTTTGCTACAGGGCGTGTGCGCTCGCCAGAAAGACAAAGAAACAGAGAGACAGAAAGTGAGAAATCACCCCCCCATGGGGGATGGCCATGCCACAATCCCTTCTGCATTCTCCTCTTGGGATCTTGGGCATGCATGCACACACACCCGGCGTGAGTCCAAGCTACCGGGTCTGGGACTTGAACCGCGGTCAACTACATGGGAGTTCAAAGACATAGCCATTACACTAACTGCTGGTCCCAAGACAAAGTTTTCTTAATAAAGGAAAAAAAAAATTACTGCCGAAGAAGAAGAAAAACCTTGCAATCATGATGTGAATTTTTTGTATACAAATAGGTTTTACAGCATTTGGGCTAGGTTGTGCTTAATCGAACCCTTGCTCTAAACAACATGTTGCAAGCCTTTTAATAAACCCCTGCCTTTAAAAAAAAAAAAAAAAAAAAAAAACCTGTTTATTTTGTTTTATTTATTATTATTATAATTTTTTCCCCCAAGTTTACTGGAGAGAGACAGAGAGAGAAAGGGAAAGTAAGAAAGCAAGCCACCAGGTCCAGGACTAGAACTGTGTTCGGCCATGTGGGAGTCCAGCACCCTAACTAACCATCATGCTACCTGCCAGTCCCAATAAACCCCTTTTGATGTGGAGTTGTCTCACTAGTTTATTAAATGTAAAATATTCTACTGAATTGCACTCTTCTTCTGTAACTCTGGTTTGCTATCAGTACCTATAACCAGAGCCATTATACTTTGTAGTACCATTGCAGAGGCTAGAGTGTTAAAACAGATAGATCAAGGCCAGTTTTAAGGCCAGAAGGGAGAGAGAAGGCAGTTGTGGGATGACCACCCTCTTTGGGGTATCCTGAGGGAGTGTGAAGAGAAAGAGGGACATGGAGTCAAAAGGAGTTTCTTTTATATAAAAGTTCTTTCTTAGAATGAAACTATATACCAGGCTTTTGGATCTTTTAATTTTTTTCCTGGTACAGTAGCAATACCGGGCATGTGTAGCTAAACATGATGCTTTTCATTTGATCATTTTAGGATTCGTTGAGAAAGAGATACGAAAAGCTAACATCCCAATTATGGACACTGGTGAAAACCCAGAGGTACCCTTTCCCCGGGACATGATTGACTTGGAGGTAAGCAATTCTGAGAAAGTCAGATTAATTTCTTTTTACTCAAATGTAGAGATTACTTTACTAAGTGGATGGATAGTAGAATAACTCTTGCTAACCTGTTAGTGTTGTCTGTTGATTTTAAATTTCTTGTATATATTATTAAAATGAATTTTTTTATGGTATCAAAAAGTATCTTAAATACTTAAACAGTATCTTAAATAGTATCCTATGGCACTAAGTGTATTTTTATTGACTTATTGAACCTTATTGGAGTTATGCACTTTTTCTAGTAGTTTATTAATCCTCTAGATTAAATGAATAGCCAATGGACTTTAACTTTTTTTTTTTTCAAAAATTTTTTTTTGGAGAGGTTTTTTTGCTATAGGGCACGTGAGCTCGCCAGAAAGACAGAGAGAGACAGAGACAGAAAGCGAGAAATTACCCCCCAGAGGGAATGGTCATGCCTCAATCCCTTCTCTTCCATTCTCTCAGGATCTTGGGCACGCACGCGCGTGCACCCGGTGTGAGTTTAGGCCACTGGGTCCGGGACTCGAACCGCGGTCGACTACATGGGAGTCCAACAACATAGCTATTACACTAACTGCTGGCCCCTTCAGTTATTCTTTTGATTTGTTTACTTATTGCCAGCGGACTCATGGGCTTGCCAGAGAGGAAACACCTCCCAGTGGGGCGTGGCCACACTGCAATCCTTCTTCCTTCATTTCACTCTTCCCATGAGATTTGGTCATGCAGGCATATGTACCCAGCATATTTCTCAAGCTGCTGTGGCCAGAATTAGAACCATGGTTGGCCATGTGGGATCCAGCTCCCTATGCATACTGTTATCTACTGTTCTGCGGAGCCGGCCCTATAATAGAACCTGTAGACAAAGAAGAACTATTTTCTTCTCTTCATTCATGATAGAACATGTGCACGTGACAGTGAGAGAGAGGAGCATCCTACACTGGATCTGGTCATGCTGTCATCCCCTCCTCTGGTGCTCCAGCCTCAGATCCTGAGCACTTGTACGTGTACTTGGCATGTTTCAGAAAGACTAGGAATTCAAACTGCAATCACCATGTGAAATCTAACTTTTTTTAGAATTTTTTATTTTATTTTATTTATTATTTTAAAATTTTCATATAGGGCACGTACATCTGCCAGAGAGAGACAGAGAGAAAGTAAGAAAGGAAGCTGTTAGGTTCAGAACTTGAACTGCAGTCATATAGGAGACTAGGGCATAACCACCATGCCACCTGCTGGCCCCTCCAACTTCTCTTGAGCAGCACATTACTGCTGCACTTAGAGCCAGCCCAAGAAAGATATTTTAAAAAATATATTATTTTAACTTTATTTATTTATTTATTATTTGAATTTGACCAGAGAGGAGTAGAACAATAGAGCGAGAGCAAGAGAGAGGGAAAGTGAGAAAGCAAGCCTAGAGGTCCAGGACTCGAATCACAGTGGGCCTTGTGGGAGTCAGCACCCTTAACCACCAAGCCACCTGCCAGCCCCAAGAAAGACTATTTTGAGCAAAAACATGTTCATTAAAGAATTTCTCTAAAGCCAGTCCCTTGACCTAGTGGTTCAGGAAGCCAGATCCAACGTGGCTGACCGTGTAATTCAAATCCTGGTCTGGTGGCTTGTAAAACATGCTGGGAATGTGCATGTGTGTGCACATATGTGTGCATGTGTGATCACAATCCTGATAGAATGGATAAATGGAGGAGAAGGGGTTGCAGCATGGGTGTGCTTTATGGGAGGTGTATTCTCCCTCTCCTAATAGTTTTCTTTTTTTCTCTCTAGGCCAATTTTGAGAAGATCGAAAATGAACTGAAGGAAATCAACACAAACCAGGAAGCTCTGAAAAGAAACTTCCTGGAACTGACTGAATTAAAATTTATACTTCGCAAAACTCAGCAGTTTTTTGATGAGGTCAGACTATTGTTTCTTTTAGTATTTGAGCAGGCGATGCTACACCTACAGAAGTGGGCCATATTTTTATTCCAATAATTATTTTAATTTGCTAGTTTGGAAGCAATATCATTTTTTACACCTTGTTTTAGTTAAAGAAATGTCAGATTATGTTCCATTATTCATACAATACACAGCCAGCCATGGTTTTGTATATTTTCACATTTTTCTGCAATTTTTCATCTCAGGATGGGGAAAGGAACCTTAAAGTAGTTGTATTAATATAGTTAGTTGAAATTTTTACATTATATTTATTATAGTTATAAGGTAAGTATATGCTTAAGGTTAAAATTAAGGGTGAAGAAACAGACATTTGGTTATATACAAAATTATAACAAGGGTTTAATTTTCAAACCTTTTGTCATTAAATTTCCATTTTATTCTCTATATCTGCTTATCAGCCTTTGAATCCATTTTTTCGGCACTTCAGATAGCACATGACACACTAATTTTTCAAAAGAGTTTTTACTGTGTGGTATAGAACTATAGTTAGGATGCTCGTTTGAAACCTCTGGATTTCACATAAACTCAACTGCATTACCTTATGGGAAAAAGTGTTAATAAATTCCTGGGTTAAAAAATGTAGGTGACTGGTGACTAAGTTGCCAGGTCACAGCTTGCTGAGGTGACCTCAGAGAGGGGATGAGAAGTCAGCCTTGTGGGAGCTTCCTTCCAATAAACCTGGGGAGGAGTCTTAGCTTCCAATTCAGTGTGGCTTTTCTGTTGGCCCAAAATGTGGGTACCTCTTTTTGACAGGGGTTTTTGCCATCAGATTAGCAACATTAGATTCTTTGGAAATTACTCTAGTCTCTAAATCAGTGTGCTTCCCCCTTAAGGTTCTTTTTTTCCTTTGTTCAACAAAAAGAAAGCTTGGCAAAGCTCTTAAATAGAGAGCTCATTTTCGTTAGCATCTGATATGTTCTCAGTTTTACTTGTAATTTTTGTCTTTTGAGGAGGAGATCATTTCTCTGAAGTGTTTTGACCAGCAACAGCAGCCTCACCTGGGATCATGTCAGAAATACAGATGACTAGTCCCTACCCTAAACCTTTTGAAGCAGGAACTCTGGGGATGGGACTCAGCAGTCTGTTTTAACAAAGTGATTCGGTGACATGCAAATTCAAAAACCATTAGGCTAGAGGATGTTTGCTGAGGATGCGACACATTCCTCAGTAATTAAGGATTTGGCTTACAGAAGCCTTGCTCATTCAAAAGATGTACCAGGGCAAGAGAAAAGAGGGAAAGCTCATGTGAGTTTAATTGCCTGCTCCTCCCGAGAATCAGAATCTGGTTATATACTAATAGAGGTTTGTTGTGACTGTGATCATTCAGCTTGCTCACTGAGTTGAGAATTTTGACTGGCAGTAACTTCTTTTGTCAGTCTTTAATTTCATTGCTTTAAAGGTTGTGGTTCTGTGTGATGAATTCTTTTCAAGTGTTTAAGGTCTTTTGCAACAGGCATGGTTACTATTGTATGAGTTTCTTTTTTTAAGAATTATTTTAGTTAACTTTATTTATTTATTTACTTATTTTAATTTAACCAGAGAGGGACAGAGTGAGAGAGAGAAAGGGAAAGAAAGTGAGAACTCAAGCTGCCAGGTCTGGGACTTGAACCGTGGTTGGCCATGTGGGAGTCCAGTGCCCTTAACCAACACATCACCTTCTGGCCCAGGTTTTTTTCTCTCACTCTCTTTTTAAAATTTTTATGTTTATTGTTTTCAAGGGAGTGAAAAGCAGAGAGAGAAAGACAGGCACTCTCCACAGGTCTCCACACTGCAATTCCTTCCCCAGCCTTCTCAGCCAGGCGAAGTCATGGCACATGTGCCTGGCATTTGCAGGTGACTGGGGAATCCAACCTGCAGTATTCAGTATGGATCCTCTATCATTTGAGCACCACCAAGCCAGACACCACATGGCAGTTGTGTTTTTTTCATTGCATGTGTGTGTGTGTGTGTGTGTGTGTGCATGTGCACTTGCAAGAGGAAGATAGGGAGAGAGAGAAAAATCACCCACCAAGGAGCATGGTCATGCACAATCTCTTCTCCATTTCTTCTTCATGTTGGGATTTTGGGCATACGCCCATGTGCACTTGGCATGTTTTTCTAGGCACAAGAGCTGGGATTCAAACCATGGTTGATTGGCCATGTGGGATCTGGTTCCATTAACCACTAGGCTTTGGGGCTGGCCCCTGCAGTACAGTTTTTTTGTTTTTGTTTTTTTAAGAGAGACTTTTTGCTATAGGGTGCATGCACTCACCAGAGAGACAGAGACAGAAAGCAAGAAATTATCCCCTAGAGGGAATGGCCATGCTGCAGTCCCTTCTCCATTCTCCTCTCAGGACCTTGGGCACGCATGCACACGTGCCTGGTTTGAGTTTTAAGTCACCAGGTCTGGGACTTGAACTATGCTCGACTGTGTGGGAATCCAGCAACATAACTTTTTTTTTTTTAATTTTATTTATTTATATTTGACTAGAGAGGAACAAAGAGAGAGAAAGAGAGAAGGAAAGTGAGAACAAACGGCCGGGTCCGGGACGTGAACCATGGTCAGTCATGTGGGAATCCACCCTTAACCACCACACCACCTGCTGGTCCCAGATTTTAATGAACTAATAATCTGGAATTTCAGTATACTCACTCCCTAAATGTTACTGTGTTTTTATTCATTAATTCACTGAACATATAATAAACACCTAACTCTTTGTGAGGCACAAATGAGGAAAAGGAAAACATGGCCCCTGTGTTTAAGGAATGTACCATTTAGTCATATTAGAAGCATCCCTGTATGGGGGCTGGCTGATGGCATGGTGGTTAAGGTGCTAGACTTTCACATGGCTGACCTTGGTTCAAGTCCCAGGCCTAGCAACTTGCTTTCTTACTTTCCCTTTCTCTCTCTCTGGTTAAAGTAGTAATAATAATAATAAATGGAATTAAATAATTATTTTAAAAAAGAAAGAATGAAAGAAAGAAAAATCCCTATATGCAAGGCCTCTGTTTGTTCACAGATGTGTGCTTTGCTAAACACATCCAAGGTACTGCCCACAGATCCCATGTAAAAGTGACCTTACAGTCAAGCCACCGGGACCAGAACTTGAACTGCAGGTGACCATGTGGGAGTCCAGAAACCTAACCATTATGCTATCTGCTGGTCCCATAATTTCTTTTTCTTTTTTCAAGAATTATTTATTTAATTTTCTTTATCATCTTTTTTTTTTTTTTTTTTTTTTTATTTTGCTACAAGACACACACATTCACCACAGGGAGACAGAGAGAGAAACAGTGAAAGCAAGCCCCAGGTTCAGGACTTGAACCACGAATGGTCATGTGGGAGTCGAGCACCTTAACTACCATGCCATCTGCCAGCCCCCAGGACCTTAATTTTTTTTTTTTTTGAGAGGTTTTTGGTATAGGGCATGTGCACTTTCCAGACAGAGAGAGAGAGACAGAAGATAAGAAATTACCCCCTAGGGGGATGGCCATGCTGCAATCCCTTCTCCTCCATTCTCCTCTTGTGACCTTGGGCACACATGCACACGCACCCGGTGTGAGTTTAAGCCACCAGGTCCAGGACTCAAACTGTGGTCAATTACATGGGAGTCCAGCGACATAGCCATTACTGCTGGTCCCAGGACCTTAATTCTTTAACCCTGTTTTTTCCCCTTTTGATATACTCTCTACTGCTGGATGTCACTAGGATGTGTGAAGTGGGTTCCTGAGTTCATGACTTCCTTAGTTCAGGAGTGAGTTAAGTTATGGATTTAGGAATTTTATTTTGTGATTAAAATATCTACACATTTATTGCCCATCTTAGGAGCACAGACTCTTAAGTTTTTATGACCTGTAATGCCCTATCCTCATGGGTGGTTTTCTCCTTCTTAGACAAGACTTTTTTTCACTCTCTGGACGTACTTGGAACACATTGCCTTGGCTGTGACACATTCTCCCACTGGTTTTGTCAGCAGTACCTCTTCATTCCCAGTACTCACAGCAAGGCAGGAAGTCTTCCAGCAGGGCCCTGTCTGCTTTTTCTCTCCAAGGGCACCACCAGTGCCTTGCCACTGGTTTGCAGCCTCAGCCAGGGTCCTTTCCCTAGGCCTTACCCTACTGCCAAACGGCTGTCTCAGGTGTTGCTGCTGTAATTGGAAATGAGATCTTGCAGAGGATTGTGTCTGCACGTGCAAGTGTGCACTTTAAATCGCATGAACAATGAGAAAACGTGGGACCTTCCCACGATATCGGGAACTTAGGGGTTTTCATGAGATTTTCTTCCATGCCTGAAATTGTAATGTTTGCAAATGACCTAAAACACTATCCATTTTAAATTCCTCTTCTTTTTTATAATTTGGTGAATACAATCAATAATTCACAATAGTGATTTAGCAGAAAATGGCTAAATCAGAAAATATCTTTTTCTAGGTGGAGGCAATAGAGGTTTGATTGGTAGGGTGTGTAGAAGGGAAAGGGGAATCATGTATAGAAAACTCTTATGATTTAAGGTGATTACAAATTCAACTCAGCCATTTCTTATCCAGAGCATTTAAAATGACTTGTTAATGATTATCCTTTTCTCAGTCTTCTTGCTTATGAAGAACTGTAAGAGCTGGAGAGATTTCTCTGCATCTTTTACCATAAGCACCATAACATATGAGAACGTAAAGAAGACTGGAAAAGTAATGGTTAATGGCATGCAGATTCCTGCCTTCCTTTCCTTCTGAGTTTCCCGTTCATCTGCTTTCTTTATTTTTCTTTTCCACCTGCCATCTCCTTCGGGGCTTGGGGGAATACCTTCAATGATCAAGTGTAATTTCGTCCTCAGTGTAGGTGAGGGCAGAAGTGTGTGCTCCTGGGAATGGCTGTAGCTTGAACGGGATGTGCTCCTTACACTGAAATGCTGTAGAAATAGAACTGAAGTGTGGCTGCTTCCTTTCTGTAAGGCATGGCTTTCAGTATTCCGGGTGGGGACACAGGGAAACCAGAGAGCACAGCCACGATTTAGAGGGACATTGGCAATATCCCTGTATGAATAGAGGACCCAGATGCTCTGAGATTCAAATTTAGCTATTTTGTTGCTTGGGTTTAGATACTGCTTTAAAAGTCCTTAGTTGGTAGTTCTGGCTATCTTAGGATCCCGTCAAAAGGTTTTATTTTTGAAATGTTTAGCTTTCTTCGCTAAGACTTAGGACTCTTAGGTCTGAACTAGTGAGATGAGTAATTAAGATTTGATTGCAAGTTTCCTTTCGATTTTAGTTCCACTGCTTCTGATTCTCAGGGCATTCTAGATACAGTCTTTAGAGTAGTCTAGTTGCTAAGTGCTGCTTGCCATTCTGTCAGGGAGTCTTGTGAGTAGCAGTCGATGTTACTGGGTTTTTTGTTTTGTTTGGTTTGTTTTTTTGTTTTTTTTTGCTTTTGTTAAGGGATATTCCAGAAACGTGTTGAGAGTTGTGGTCGTCTAGATTGAAAAGGTGCTCACAGTAGGCTGATTCGATGTCAAGTAGAAATAAAAAGAACCTCCTAAACTTCCATGTGGCAGTAATTGGTAACTAGTCTCCCCATTATCTCATCTTAATTTTTCCAACCCCGCTACAGTATTTCTCTGCCCTTTTGGTGTATCCAGTGCCTGCCTACCCTCCACTTCTTTTTTTATTTTTTTTTTTAAATTTGGCACAGAGCATGTGTGTTTGCTGGAGAGAGAGAGAGAGAAAGAAAATGAGAGGGCACTCCCAGGTGGACGGCCACACTGCGATTCCCTTTCCTCTATTCCCATTATTCCCATTCCGGGATTTTGGGTAGACGCAGCTGTGTCAGGTATGTTTCCCAAGGCTCTGGATCCTGGACTCCTACCACGCAGTTGATCACGTGGAATCCAGCCATCTCCACACCACCAGCTGGCCAACCCCCCCCCCTTTTTTTTTTTTTTAAATTTTTGGTTTATACTTAGTTTTTCTACCCTCTTTGTTACATTTATGGTCCTGTGACTATCACGTGAGGTTCCCATGTGGCATTTTATGATGGTGCAGTTGATAGGAATAGAATCAAGTTAAAATGTGGAATGAAAGCGATAGAGAAAAATTATCCTGACTTTTTGCATTATTTTTGCTTCAAGAAAAAGGATTGTTCTGGCTTATTTCAGTCTTTGGTCAAACAGGTAGTGCATGGTTATTAAAGTTGGGGAGATCAGGCTGTGGAGAAGCTGATTGGATTTTATATTTTAAGGGCAGTATTTCCCTCTGATTGGAGTAAAGTGTGATAGGATGAGTTGGATAGGGAGGAGCTAGGAAATACTGACCCATATATGGGGAAGATCCTTTTCCTCCTTCATTTCATTGTATAAACTGTCATGGTGGAAATCATTTTAAAATGAACCAATTAAACCAGCCCTCAAGCTGTAGATTGGTTTATTATTCATTGCTTTTTCTTCACTTTCTTGAGAGCACAGCTCAAGAATCAAGTAATTTTCAGCTGTAAAGCCTGTATGATCGTTTCATATTTCTAGGTTCCACCTTGGAAAACAGGACATTTAGATATGTTTTCACTTTTTATTTTTTTTCCTTTATGGATATAGTAGAGACCCAGCCCTGCTCAGCTATTGTGTTTCTTATCCTTTTGAAGAAAGAAATACTCTGTAAATCCCAAGGTTCATAGCATTTTATACACAGCTATGCTGAAAGTTCTCGACTGTTGGGCCTTGAAAACCTGCATATCTGGAGATGCTCCTGTTTTCTCCAGATCACACTGTGTTCAAGATGGCCACAGTGCCTGGCTCCTCCCTTGGAAAGAGAGTCTACCTCCCTTTCTCACACAGGAAAAATTCTAGTGCACCTGCCTAGAAATGAAGTGTTGAGAATGTCTGCAGAACTGCTTTACTTTTGCTTGAAAGGAGGAGACAGTTCAGTCCTACCCACATGCAGAGATATTTGTGGGTACTTTTCATAGTTCATTCAGGGAAATAGGAGAGAAAATGGCTTCCACCAAGTCACAGATTTATACACATCCCACTGTTTAATGTTTTTTTCCCCTTTTATTCTTTATTTCTAAAACCATTTCCCCAGATGCTTTCCTGGGGGCAATTATGCTTTCTTTACCTTGTTTATTTCCTTTGTTTTCCTCCCAATTCTTGTCTCTGTGGGTGTGTCTTATCTTTTGGTGGTTTTCTTTTCTCATCTTTACTTTCTGAACCTGTCTCCTGGTTCCTCGTTCCCTGCATGCCACTAACTATTTTCATTAGATATTAATTGATTTGTGAATTCAGGCTGAATTGCATCATCAGCAGATGGCGGATCCAGACCTGTTGGAAGAATCCTCATCCCTGTTGGAGCCAAGCGAGATAGGAAGAGGCACGCCTTTAAGACTTGGGTGAGTACCACCTCAACCTTTCCACATTCAGTGGGGTCGTGTTCACCTTTCTTTACAAAGAGCCATGAGGCTGGGGATTCACTTTCCACCAGGATGTGCTCTCTCCTCAGCCTGGTAAGAGATCTTTCTAAGTCTCTGTGGATTCAGTTTCTAAATTGTTCTGTCGCCCCTTTGCTGGGACCAGAAATAAGGCCTGGAGTGTTATTTTGGCATCCCCTTTGACATAGCATGTAGTCTCATGTGTATAGTATCTTTCTCCTTTCACTTCCCTTTTTTTCTTAAAACCTCCATCCCGCAGCACAGAATAGAGTCCCCAATCTGGCTTTTCTCCCCACAGCTTCGTGGCTGGTGTCATTAACCGGGAGCGCATCCCTACTTTCGAGCGCATGCTTTGGCGAGTGTGCCGGGGGAACGTGTTCCTGCGGCAGGCTGAAATAGAGAACCCCCTGGAGGATCCAGTGACTGTAAGACAAGGAAATTGCATCCTGTGGAGTAGGTCTTATAAAGAGAGCCCAGAGCAGTAGCACACCATGGTGCCACCTGAATGAGACCCCTCCCCAGAGGAGCCCTGTGTCATCCCTGCTTTGATCTGAGAGTTTGAAGACTGCTCCTCTCCTCTAACTTAACTCCCCTCACATGTATACTTATGCTATATACATAACACATACATATTTCCAGGTTTTACCCATGCAGATATCATTATTTTACTTATTTTGTTTTTTTTTTGCCAGAGGGCACATGTGCTCACAGAGAAAGAAAGAGAGGGAGAAAGCGTACCCGTTCTTCTTCCTCCCTTTCTCCCTGTCAGGATTTTGGACATTCATGCACAGGTGCCGGCGTGTTTTTTAAGTCATTAGGGCTGGGATTCAGACTGCAGTCACCTCTGTGGAATCTGATTCCCTGTGCATAGTACTTAATCACTGCCGTGAGGCTAGCCTTCTAAGTGTTATTTTGATGGGAAATGATGCTGGTGTGCTTTTTCTAATTTATGTAACTTATTTTTGAGAGTATTTTGCTAGGGCATGTGTTCTCACTGGAGAGACAGAGAGAGACAGAGAGAGAGAGACAAAAAGCGAGAAATCACCCCCCAGGGGGATGACCACACTGCAATCCCTTCTCCTCCATTCTCCTCTCTGTATTTTGGACATACACACCTGGTGTGAGTTTTAAGCCACCAGGTCTGGGACTCGAACCGTGGTCGACTATGTGGGAGTCCACTGACAACCATTACACCATCTGCTGGTCCCTCTTATTTTATTTTTAATGGCCAAGGGCACATTCACTCATCAGAGAGAGAGCTGGGGAGATGGGGGGGGGTGCAGACGAGAGTGAGAACACACCCCAAATAGGATGTGGTCTTCCCCTCTCCTCCACTTCTCCATCCTGTCAGGATTTAGGGCACACACGTATATGCACCTGGCATTTTTCAAGCCACTGGGGCCAAGATTTGAACTGTGGTCAGCCATGTGAGATCTAGCTCCCTTAACCACTAGGCTATGGGACTAACCCTCCTCCCGTTATTTTAAACTTTAATTTTTTGTTACTGGTCTGGGACTAAAGAAAAATTATCTGTATGAAAATCAACTTAAAGCAGGATATCTGGTTCCAAATTTGGTGATATTAATGTGTAAAAAGAAAAGGAGAGTTTCTTAACAGTGATAGGGATATGCTGATGAAATTTTACATACCAAGGTATTTTTAAGTACTTATGTTCTGGGAGAATTCAAAACTTAGTTTAAGAATTAATTCGGTGGAGGGCCAGCAAGTGTTATGCTGGTTAAGACACTGAACTCCTACATAGCTGACCATAGTTTGAGTCCTGGACCAGGTAGCTTGCTTTCTGACTTTCCTTGTCTCTCTCTCTCTGTTAAATTAAAAAAACTCTTAAACATTTGAAATAAATCATTTCATTTATCCACAGCATTTATTTTATTTAATTTTATTTGTTATTGTTATTTTTAAAAAGAATTATCTATTTATTTAATTCTATTTGTTATTTTTATTATTGTTATTATTATTTTAATTTGACCAGATGGAGAGAGAGAAAGGGAAAGCGAGAAAGCAAGCCACCAGGTCCAGAACTTGAAGTGTAGTTGGCCATGTAGGAGTCCAGAACCATTAACCCACCACCTGCTGGCCCTAAAATAATTTTTAAAAAATAATTATTTATTTAATTTTATTTATTCATTCATTTATTTAAATTTGACCAGAGAGAGAGAGAGAGAGAGGGAAAGTGAGAAAGCAAGCCATCAGGTTTGGGACTCGCACTGTGGTCAGCCTTGTGGGAGTGTCCAGCACCTTAACCACCACGCCACCTGCTGGCCCCCACTAAAATAATCCTTAAAAAAAAAAGAAAAAGAATTTATTGTGCAACATAGGATAATCTTCTCTGTCCAGTGCTTTGGGAAATAGAAACAGCTTAGATCTTGGCACCTGACATAATTAGACAAAGTTAATCATCTAAACGTTTATGAATATGATGAGTCCTGATTTCAAGGATAACAAAGTTCAATGTACTGAAGAAATGTTACTGCATTTTGTATTAGTAGTAGTTAGAAGCCTGGAGTTGATTTTCCTGTTCTAAATTACCTTGTGAATATCTTAAATTAATATTCTTTGCTCCACCTAAGAAGGCAGATCACACTGTGACTTCTCATTTTGGATGGGTCACACAGACGTGTGGTGACCCTCAAGTTAAAGTGAATGCCCTTACTGGGGCTCCAATGTTACAGTCTACCAGAGGGTTGTCTTGTGTTGTGGGAGCACTATAATCTGCAGTCACAGCTAATGTAGAACTGTTCTCTGGAATACTCAGTCATTTCCTCTTGGCAACAGAAGGGTATTTTATTAACAAATCTAGGCAAGGGGGCCTGGATTTCTACAACAGAGCTGCTGTACACAGATAATGCGCCAGCTTAGTCTAGGGAATTTACCAACTTAACCTAATTTTGTCCATTATTCTTCTTTAATCCTTCTAAAGTTTTCATCACTTGTTTTCTTATTTTAAAAGCAATATAGGGGCCAGCAGGTAGCATGGTGACTAAGGTGCTGGACTCCCACATGGCTGACTGCAATTTGAGCCCTGGACCTGGCAGCTTGCTTTCTCACTTTCCCTCTCTCTGTCTCTCTCTGGTCAACTTTAAAAAATAAAATAAAGACAATGAATAAAATTTTTAAATTAAAAAATAATATTAAATAAGTAATTTTTCTTCTTTTATTTATTTATTTTTTTAGAGAGGTTTTAAAAGACAGAGACAGAGAGAGAGAAAGTGAGAAATCACCGCCCAGGGGGGATAGGGATGGCCACACTGCAATCCCTTCTTCTCCATTCTCCTCTCGGGATCTTGGGCATGCATGCACACATGCCTGGCGTGAGTTTAAGCTACCAGGTCTGGGACTCAAACTGCAGTTGACTACATGGGAGTCCAGAAACATAGCCATTATGTTAACTCTTGGTCCCAATAATTATTTTAAATGACTAAATAAATAAATTAAAACAATATAGGGACCAGCAGGTGGTGTGATGGCTAAGGCATTAGACACCCCCACATGCCCAACAATGGTTTGAGACCCAGACCTGGTGACTTGCTTTCTCACTCCCCAACCCCCCCTCTGGTCAAATTGAAATAAATGAATGAATAAATAAAATAAAATTTAAAATAATTTTTAAAAAAAACACAACAATATATACCTCATACAAATTTAAGAAAATACAGGCAACCAGAGATGATTCTGTATGCCTTATTTTTCTGATCTCCCCTCCTGGTCCTTGCTTCATACTGCAGGTTTAAACTTGGTATTTGGAATGGATTGCCTCTCTCCTGGCCTCATAAAGACTAAGCACAGATCCTGAGAGTCTACATTAGCATTCTTCCCATGGATCAGTTTGTTGGAGTTATTCAGTCTCTTTCATTGGGGAATTTCTAAGACCCAAAATAGATAGGAATAGCTTCTTTCTCTTTTTTCTCTCCTACACTTTTATCACTGAGGCAATACACGATTTAAAGTTGAACCAGCTCCAGAACCAGTGGCATAATGATTATGTCGCTGGACTCCCACATAGTTGACCACGGTTCGAGTCCTGGACCCAGCAGCTTAAAACTTACACTAGGCACATGCCCAAAATCCTGAGAGGAAAATAGAGGAGAAGGGATTGTGGCATGGCCATTCTCCCTGGGGGATGATTTCTCACTTTCTGTCTCCCTATCTTTTCAGCAAGCGTACATGCCTATAGCAAAAATATCTCTTAAAAAAAAGTTGAATCAGGTACAGCAGGTGGTGTGATGGTTGAAGGCACTGGACTCCCAAATAGCTGACCAAGATTTGAGTCCTGGACCTGGTGGCTTGCTTTCTCATTCTTGCCCTCCACCCCCGTCCCTTTCTGGTCAAGTTAAAATAATTCTTAAAAAAAAAAAAAAAAAAACGTTGAACCAGCTCTCTGGCTTGATGGCTAAGGCAGCTGGATCCCACATGGCCTACCATGATAGAAGTCCAAACTCAACTGCCTGAGAAACATGCCAGGTGCATGAGCATGCATGCCTAAAATCCAACAGGAAGGAGAGATGGAGCAGAAGGGATTGTGGTGTAACCATTCCCCACAGGAAGGAGAGATGGAACAGAAGAGATTGCAGTATGACCATTCCCCAGGGAGGTCCTTTCTCTTCTCCATGAGCAGAGCACACGCAGTATCTAGCAAAAAGAAAATTTTGACTAAAAAAGGTTTAAAGTTAATTGATTAAAAAAACAAAACTAAATAACGCTAAGAGGAATATTATCTAGCTTTCTGTCAAGCTCCTGGTTGAATCTTAGATCAAATTGAGAAAGATTTTTGTAACTGGAGATCACAGGGCAAACGTCCTCGTAAGGCAGTTTAAGAAACAGAGAGAGGGTTATGGTAAAAGTACAGGACTGCTTGTCCTTGAAGGATTCCTGTCGTTCCTGTCACCAAAAAACTTATTTTCAAAGTCTTCATCTGGATTTAGACACCTATACTCTTTGTTCTTTTTTCTTGGCACCTAGGGTGACTACGTGCACAAGTCTGTGTTTATTATCTTCTTCCAAGGTGACCAGCTGAAAAACAGAGTCAAGAAAATCTGTGAAGGGTAAGAGAAGCATGCCCCTACCCAAGAGAGCACAGCCATGCTGCTTAATGATCCTTCGGAGTAGTAAACCTTAAATCCTTTTTAGTCTGTCTTGCCTCAGTGAATATATCTTTTAATAATGTTAGGGTGGGACCAGCAGACGGCATAATGGTTACATCGTTGGACTCCCATATAGTCAGTCCACAGTTTGAGTCCCAGGCCCAGCAGTTTAAAACTCACAGCAGGCATGTGTATGTGCAAGCCCAGAATCCTGAGAGGAGAATGGAAGAGAAGGGATTGTGGCATGGCCATCCCCACCATGAGGTGATTTCTGGCTTTCTGTCCTTTGTCTCTTGCTGTCCCTCCAGCGAGTGCACATGCCCTATAGCAAAAACAAAAACAAACAAACAAACAACAACAACAAAAAACCCAAAAAACTCTCTTAAAAAAAAAAAAATATATATATACACACACATTCGAAATAATTCAGGCCATCCAGTGGCGTGTTGGTTGAGGCAGCTGAATCCCACAGGACTGACTGTGTGGTTCAAGTCCTAACCATGACAGCTTGAGAAACATGGCAGGTGCATGTGAATGCATAACTAAAATCCCAAAAGGAGGGAGAAATAGGAGACAGGATTGTGGCGTGACCATCCCCATGAGGGGATGCTTTTCTACTTTCTCTCTCTGTCTCCAGAGAGTTCATGTAACCTCTGGCAACTTTTTTTTTAAAAAGGAAATAGCCTAAGTTAATTTTTAAAAAGTATCATCAAAACCACAATTTCCTCTCTCTGGGAAAAAGTAATTAGTACTCATAGTTTATAAATGCCACCTTATTCTGGGACAATGGGTCCACATACCCAGTTTAGTGCCACAGGTACAATGTCCTTACATTTTCTGAAATTCTGTCTGATGGGCAAAATTTTTACCATGGCATTTTGGTCTAATAATTTACAATATAATAGACTTTACCTTTTTTTTCACTCTGAAGAGAATTTCATATCTACAAAGAATGTCGATGTAGTTCAAACATTATTGCTCTAGCTACAGGCCACTTCACATTAATTATTGCTGATTAACTCATCAGTCTGGCCTAATCCCATTTTGATCTTTCTAGTAAGTTAGGATTATATTCTGAGATAATTTAAACTAGTAGGTTAAGAAATGTCAATGTTCCCAAGGCTGTGTCTGTTCATTTCAGGTTCCGAGCCTCACTCTATCCCTGTCCTGAGACACCGCAGGAGAGGAAGGAAATGGCTTCCGGAGTTAATACCAGAATTGATGATCTCCAAATGGTATGCTGAGGACTGGATGGAATTTGTTTTTGTGAAATACAATAGAAAGCCATTCTCCTTTCTTATAATACTAACAGTTTACGAGGCACCTATAGAAGCTCAGGTTTAAAAAAAAACAAGTCTATGGGGAATATGTCCATCGTGGAACTGGGGAAAGTCTCAGGGAATGACTGTTAAAATAGCATTAATAGGAGCCAGCAGGTGGCACAGTGGTTGAGGATGCTGGATTCCCACATGGCCGACCACAGTTTGAGTCCTAGACCTGGTGGCTTGCTTTCTCACTTGCCTTCTTTCTCTCTCTCTCTCTTTTTCTATCTCTCTCACTCTATCTCTCTATGATCAAACTAAAATAAATAAATAAATAAAGTTTAATAAAGTAATTCTTTAAAAAAATAATAGCATTAATTGGGCCAGCAGGTGGCATGGTGGTTAAGGCAGCTGGATTCCCACGTGGCCGACCATGATTAGAGTCCCAGACTCAATTGCTTGAAAATCACACTGGACGCGCGTGTGTGTGCACCTAAAATTCTAAGAGGAGAATGGAGAGAAAAGGATTGTGGTGTGGCCGTTCCCTTTGGAGGGTGATTTCTCACTTTCTCTCTCTGCCTCTCTCTGGGAAGTGCACATACCCTATGGTAAAAACCTAAAAAAGCATTAATCATCCCCAAATGAGATGGAATGCCTTGAATTTAGAATCATTGTTGCTTAGAGTATTTATTTCCACTCTGAGATTCTTTTTATATCATCATTTTTAAAAGTATGCTCAGTTTGGGCCAGCAGGTGTTGTGGTGGCTAAGGTTCCAAGGTTCAAGTTCTGGATCTGGCAACTTGTGTTCTCACTTTTTCTCTCTCAGTCTCTCTTTAGTGAATATATATGCACTCTAGTGAATTAAAGAAAAAAAATAAATAAAATTAAATCTTTAAAAAAAAACTATGCTAAGTTTTTTAAAAGATTGGGTGCACATAAAGTCTCACACACAGTCTACCTCCTAAGGATGAAGCTGCCTAGTGTGTATCCTTCTGCTACATTCAAACTTTTTTCTTTTTTTAAGAATTATTTTATTTATCTTTATTTATTTGTTTGTTTGTTTGTTTTAATTTGACCAGAAAAGGACAGAGAAAGAAAGTGAGAAAGCAAGCCACCAGGTCTGGGACTTGAACTGCAGTTGGCCCTGTAGGAATCCAGTGCCCTTAATCACCATGCTACCTGTTGGCCCTTTTTTTTTTAACTATTATGGGGACCACTAGATGGTGTAATGGTTACGTCGCTGGACTCCCAAGTAGTTGACTGCGGTCTGAGTCCTAGACATGGCAGCCTAAAAGTCATGCCAGTCCCATGTGCATGTGTACCCAAAATTCCAGGAGGAGAATGGAGGAGAGGGGATTGTGGTGTGACCATCCCCTTGGGGTGGGGGTGATTTCTTACTTTCTGTCTCTCTGTCTCTCTCTGTGTCTTCAGCAAGTGCTCGTACCTTATAGCAAAAATCTCTTAAAAAATTAGAATGTGTGTGTGTGTATATCTATAATTATTTAATTTTATTTATCATTATTATTATTTATTTTTTTGCTATAGGGCATGCATGTTCACCAGAGAGATACAAAGAGAGAGGGAAAGTAAGAATGCAAGTCACCAGGTCCAGGACTTGAACTTTGGTCATCCATGTGGGAGTCCAACACTTTAATTGTTATGCCACCTGCTGACCCTGCTACATTCGATCTTAATCACACATTCTAAGAGCCGTGGTGTAGCCCTTGTACCCAGAAGGAAATTATGTTACATTTTTACCAAATTTAAGTGTGTGTATGGTTTGTTCACACTGTGGTCATCATCAGGTTCTAAGGGAGGCATGATGATGTCTGTGTCCATGGAAGGAAAGGGTGAAAGAATAAGTGTGATGACTTCCCCCTGCCTTCTTTTAGAGAGATTTTTGTCGTAGGGTGCATGTGCTTGCCAGAGAGACAGAGACAGAGAGACATAAAACAAGAAATCACTCCCCAAGGAGTATGTCATGCCACAGTCCCTTCTCCATTTTCCTCTCAGGATCTTGGGCACACAGGCATATGTGTCCTGCTTGAATATAAGTCACCAGGTGCGGACCTGGACCCAGACTGCGGTCAACTATGTGGGAGTTCAGTGACGCAACCATTATGCCATCTGCTGGTCCTGTCATGACTCCCTTTTTGAAATATTAATAAACATGCTTAATCCCAAAGGCAGTCCTTCCAGCATTGTCAAAATTAGAAATATGTCATAACTTCCACTGCAATGCTCTTTTGCATCTTTCCCTCTGAGCCTTATTGTATGAGGCTGCCAGTCTGACCTCTTTCCAGCTCTTTGACATATGCTTATCTGTTTAACCAGATGAAGTAAGTTTGTTAGAACTGCTGGTGGGTGATAAGCCATATTAGCACATTCTGGGTTCTGAGACTGTCTTATCTTTCTCCAAGCTCATGAGTAGATTTAAGGGTATGAGCAATCATCATTATAAATAACCAGAATTAGAGTCCAGCTGGTAGCATAATAGTTAAGTTGGGTATATCCCACATGGGTGACTATGTGGTTCCAGTCCCAGATAGCAGCTTGGAAAACATGCTGGGTACGTGTGCACGTGTGCCAAAACCCCTAGAGGAGACTAGTAAAGAATGAATTTTGGCATGTGCATCCTAGGGGGGCGGGGGTGATTTCTCACTTTCTCTTTCTCTTTTTCTCTCTCTGGCAAGTGCATGTGCCCTGTAACAAATTTAAAATATCGATAAACAAGGCCAACAGGAGGTATGGCGGTTAAGGGTGCTGGACTCCCACATCGTTGACCTCGGTTCAAGTCCCAGTTCTGGCAGCTTGGTTTCTCACTTTCCCTTTCTCTCTCTCTCTCTGATTCTGTCCCTCTCTGGTCAAATAAAAATAAATAAAGTTAAATAAAATAATTCTTTTTTGAAAAAGATAAATAAAACCCAAAATTAGACTTTTTTTTTTAGAGAGATTTTTACTGTAGGGCATGTGTGCTCACCAGAGAGACAGAGAGAGGCAGAAAGTGAGAAATCACCCCCTTGGGGGATGCTCACACCACAATCCCTTCTCCTCCAGTTTCCTCTCGGGACTTTGGGCATACACAAGCATGTGCCTGGAGTGAGTTTTAAGCTGCTGGGTCAGGGACTTGAACCATGGTCAACTACATGGGAGTCCAGTGATTTAACCATTATGCCATTTGCTGGCCCACAGAATTAGACTTTTGAAAAATCCAGCTGTAGGAACTGAAACTTTAAAAGGGGATTGAAACCATGCAGTGGGATTGGGAAAGAAAAAAGGCAAACAGAATGTTGCTTGCAAATGTATTTGGCATCCTTCCTAAAGAAGTTTTAATAGTGATTGTGAAATAGTCAACAGCCAGAGGGAGGGAAAGTAGTTGTCTTCAAGTGGCAACATAAGAGTTTTCGTAGTGTGCCAAGGCTCTTTATTTATTTATTTTTTCTTCTTTTTGAAAATGTGGAAGTCACCTTCCCCTGAACGAGACCATCTTTCAGGGTGTGCCGACTGCTTTGTTCAGAACAAGCTTGAAGATATGTGATGGAGAGTTGTGATTACCATAGTCTATAGCTTTTTCTCTTCCAAGACATGAGATTTCAGAGTTTCTCATACTGAAGTGTGAGTTCTGGGCTGCTTGCCCAGCTCCTTCTGATTGGAAGCAGGGGGCTTAGCCTCACCTCTGCTCCTGAAACCTTAATATTTGGTGATAAACAAGGCCATAAAATGTCAAATGTCCCTGCACCTTCCTCCAGCCTAATCTAGGCAATGCGATTTCTCTGAGAAAAAAATCTGTATTCATTTCCAAAGGATCAACACTGAAACTTTTTCCCTCCAGGATGCCGGACAGAAGGGTAAAACCTTACAGCCCCCACATGGCAGTGTCTGTGGTGGTCCAGACCTCCTCTAAAAACCAAGGGAGCTCCTGATTCCACAGGGTCTCTGGCTCCTGTTCCCAGAATAGCGAGCCATGGTGCTCACAGCCTGTCTCCCACCTTCCCTGGGACTGGCTCACCTGCAAGGGGCTCTGCAGCTAGCTTGATTCCTTCGTTTGTCAGCTGCTGGGCCCGGGGGCCCCTTCTGTGATTCTGAGTGACAGGTTGCCCATAGCAAGCCTCTGGTTTTGTTGTTCTGTTTGTTTTATAATTGCCAGAGGGCATATGTGTGCACCAAAAAGAGACAGAAACACTGAGAAAGGGTAAAACACTCCCAGTGGGGAGTGGTCATGCCACATTTCCTTCTGCTCCGTTTCTCCATCTTGTCGGGATTTGGGGCATGCAGGCCCATGCACCCAGCATGTTTTTCAAGCAGTGAGGTCAGGATTTGAACAGTGGCTGAGTATAAAGGATCCAGCTGCTTTGAGTACTAGGCTATGGGACCAGCCCCAAGTCTGTTTTTTAATGAATTGAGTAAAAGCCAGAGAAGTATGTTCACTGTGCCTTCGATGGATAGCAAGACTAAATATAGAGAAAAAAGCCAAAAAACCATTTTCCTCTATTTCTCTTGAGCTTGAGACTAAATGAGCATGAATATAGTAACTAGAACTTGAATTTCTTGTAATTTGGGGGGAGGGGGGAAGAAAAGTAAAAAAGAAATCATTCTAGCCAGAGAAAGAAAAAGATGATTTCAGGACCAGCAGATGGCGTAATGATTATGTTGCTGGACTCCCACGTAGTCAGCCATGGTTTGAGTCCCAGACCCAGGGTCTTAAAACATACCAGATGCATGTGCATGCATGCCCAAAATCTCAAGAGGAGAATGGAGGAGAAGGGGTTTGTGACATGGCCATCCCCCCCCCCCAGGGGGGTTATTTCTCGCTTTTTGTCTCTTTGTCCAGTGAGCATACATGCCCTATAGCAAAAAATCTCTTATAAGAGAAGGAAAGACGGTTTCCTGGCAATGTTTCAGAAAGCTGTTCCTCTTTGCCATTCATATCCTGAAATCTAAGACTGGTGTTAGAAGGATCCCTCCCTTGTATTTTTCTCTCCCAAAAGGTTCTGAATCAAACAGAAGATCACCGCCAGAGGGTTCTGCAGGCAGCTGCTAAGAACATCCGGGTCTGGTTCATCAAGGTGCGGAAGATGAAGGCCATCTACCATACCCTGAATCTGTGCAACATAGATGTGACCCAGAAATGTCTGATTGCAGAGGTCTGGTGCCCTGTCACCGACCTTGACTCCATCCAGTTTGCACTCAGAAGGGGCACGGTAAGTCTCCAAAGCTAGCAGTGCAGCTGTGGCCAAAAAGAGAGACTCCCGTCAACTGTAACCTTGATCAGTTTCATATACATGGTGCCTTTACTTTCACAATTCTCTAATGTATTCGTCTTGGATCCTGACAGTACGTTTTGTGTATGATCTACTATCCTGATTTTGCAAATGTGGAAACTGCAATTCAGAGACCCATTCACTGTATTCCACTACTTCTGTTCAGTAGCTCATTAGAGGTACTCTGTCTTCTAAGGCACTGGCAGGACCTGGGGTGGCATGGATGTACAGTCACACCCTCAGGCCTCCTACAGTTGGTTAGGAGAGGGCGACGTGCCATCAGAGAAGATAGTCTGTGCTAAGAGTGGTAGATTGGTAGATGTATGTGGCCCAAATGTGGAGCTTTTGCAGCTAGGGTGATGGGGGAAAGCTTCAGGAAGGTGGCATTTGATCAGGACTTTGAGGAATGGGTAAGGTGTTGATTGGCAATGACAAGAAGAAAGCAGTGTGAACAAAGGCAGGAAGTGCAACGTGGCTGTGTGTTATGTAAGAGCAGAGATTATAATGGGTGAGCTGAAAGAGCCCAAGTGCCTCTCTGTATCAGGTATATTAGAACTTAATAGTAAGAAGTTTCAAAATAACAGATTAGAAGGTTTAAATTTTATTCCAAGGGAGTAGAGGGTCACTGGGAGCTATTTAACAGTTTAGGGACATGATCAAAGCAGTTTCAGTAATTTGATGGCATCTGGTTTAGACGAAGGACTGGGGAGATTGTGTAGGTGAGGGGTCAGGTAGGGGAAATTGTAGACCTAGAGTAGTAAGTGATAAGGACCCTCTAGGGTAAGGCCTGGCAGTGGGGAAAAAAATAATAATGGATTTGTGAGACATCATGAAGGAAAACTCAGTAAGTACACTTGGTTCCTAGCAAGATGCAGGAAAATATAAGGGGAAAGAATTGAAAATGTTCCTGGGCCCTCAAAGCTGAGTGAGTGATCAGAACTGAGGTTCCATTCAGGGAAGCAAAAGTTCAGTGTGAGAAGTTTATTGATAGGAGAAAGATGATAAATTCAGCTGTAGTCACATTGAGGTCCTGAACAGAAACCCAGGTGGAAATGTCAAGTAGACAGTGGGACAGAACTAGAGGAATGGGAGTCATGAGCGTAGAAGCGGAGGAGGCCCCTGAGTGGGAGATCAGAGAGAGAAATAAGGAAGCCCCTCAGGGGCTTGTAATGTTATTGGGTAGGCAGCGGAGAAGGAATAGAGAGGAGCGGTCAGTGAGCAGAATTCCTGAGATTTTCGCTGAAGAATACATCTCTGGTGTCATATGGGAGGGAAGTCCTTTGGGTCGGGCGAGGAGTCAGCAAGCTCAGCCCGACTGCAAGGCGTTCTGCTGTTAGGAGTAGGTGCTGAAGGAGAGGCAGAGTATACTTTGCCTCCTGTATGAAAAGAGGAGAGGACAAGGATTTTCATAGAAGGCAGATGTGGCAGAGGTTCCAAACTTTTTTTTTACAAGAAGGATGCAGGATGTAGTTCTCGAGACTTAACTGAAATCTACCATTGCAAATTTTATACCTAGTCTCAGTTTCCCCAAAGACTGGGAAAAAATAACCCCTAATTATTTGTTTCCATTGATTTTATTGAGCTATAACTTACACAGAAGAAAATGCATGTCTCTTATGTGTATAGTTTGATGAGTTTTTATAAACACACACCCACCCCTGGAGCCATCGCCGTGGTCAGAGGCTTGCCTAACTTTGATGTATGTGTTACTATTTCCCAGGAACATAGTGGCTCCACTGTGCCCTCCATTTTAAACAGGATGCAGACGAACCAGACCCCACCAACCTATAACAAAACCAACAAGTTTACATGTGGCTTTCAGAACATAGTAGATGCTTATGGAATTGGAACTTACCGAGAGATAAATCCAGGTAAAAAAAAAAAAAAAAAAAAAAAAAAAAACTTGTGTCTTTTTAGAGGTTTGTTGTTTGTTGTTTTCTTTAATACCTCCCTGTCAATGCTATTGTACAACTGCCTTAAAACTAAAGATTTTAGGGACCAGCACTTGGCATAATGGCTATGTTGCTGGACTCCCATGTAGTTGGCTGCAGTTTGAGTCCTGGACCCGGTGGCTTAAACTCACGCTGGGCATGTGTGTGTGTGTGCCCAAGATCCTGAGAGGAGAATGGAGGAGAAGGGATTGTGGCATGGCCATACCCCCTGGGGGGGGTGATTTCTCACTTTCCATCTCTCTGTCTCTTTCTGGCGAGCGCATGCGCCCTATAGCAAAAACCTCTCAAAAAGAACACTAAAGATTTTGGAGCTGGTAGGTGGTGCTGTGGTTGAGGCCTCAGACTCTCCATAGCCAACTGTGGTTCAAATCCCAGATCTGGTGACTCACTTTCTTACTTTCTTTTTCTCTCTCTGGTCAAATTAAAATAATATTAATAATAGCTTAATTAAAAATAAACAACTCTTAAAAAAAAAAACTAAAGATGCTGTCAAAACCTCAGATCTTGTGTCATTCCTGTGAAAAAATGCCCATGTGACTTTAAGAAATAGATTTATCACCAGGCAACACTGCCTTTATTTTTTTTTTTTAAGAGAAAAAGATATTTTTGCTATAGGGCATGTGTGCTCACTGGAAAGACAGAGAGAGATAGAGAGACAGAAAGTGAGAAGTCACCCCCTAAGGGGAGATGGCCACACCGCAATCCCTTCTCCTTCAGTTTCCTCTCGGGATTTGGGGCACTCATGCACATTCACCTGGCACGTTTGAAGCTGCCTGGTCCAGGATTGAACTGCAAACAACCATGTGGAGTCCAGTGACATAACCATTAAGTCATCTGCTGGTCCCAGCAACACCCCTTTAAAGAGCTCAGTCGGTTATTCCACGTGCACTCTCTCCCAGCCATAAAACATCTGATGTTCTCTAGCAAAGCATTTGCAGGAGACACCTCAAGGTATCTGATCTTTTAAAAAATATATTTTATTCAACTTTATTTATTATTATTATTATTATTATTATTATTATTATTATTTAATTTGACCAGAGAGAGAGAAGGAAGGTGAGAAGCAAGCTGCTAGGCCTAGGACTCAAACCATGGTCAGCCATGTGGGAGTCCATCACCCTTAACCACCATAGCCCTTGCTGGCCCCAAGATGTCTGATATTTTTAAATGGCTTCCTGGCTCCTCTGTTCTAAGATTAGACAGAGAAAATATAGCAATCAGTGACCATTTTAGGCACAAGGCAGATTTGTCCTCTGTCAGGGGAGTTAATTATTAAATCCAGAGCTAGGCTTTGTTTGGAGCCTAAGCCTTTCACAGGATGTGCTTGGCTCTAGTTCTCGACTCCCCCCACCCCACCCCTGCTACCTGGTGGCTTTATTCAGCTCCAGAGAGTAGCTAGCTGACCTGCCCCAGGAGCAGTGTCCCAGGGGTTAGAAGAAGGGAATTGAAGAACAAACTTCAGTATTGCTGGGACAACACTTTCATGTCCTGTGTTATTCATTTCAGCTGTTAACAGCAGTTCAGGGTCCACCAACTGAGTCGTGAGGGTATGTATATTCTGCCATGGAAGATTTTCTCTGAGGGACCCTCCACCTGGCAGCTGGGAAATAGGACACTTGATATTAATCTTAGAGTATGGAGAGGAATGTGTTATTTTTTGGTCTCATGTACCGCATGTTTTTCTTTCTTTGGTTTCTTTATAGCTCCATATACTATTATCACTTTTCCTTTCCTGTTTGCTGTGATGTTTGGAGACTTTGGCCATGGCATTTTGATGACTCTTTTTGCTGTGTGGATGGTATTAAGGGAGAGCCGGATCCTTTCCCAGAAGAATGAGAATGAGGTAATTTTTAAATCATCTGCACTGGACTGAAATTTTACAATTTCTCAAGCAGGCATTATGAAAATTATGATCAGAAAGTCTTTTGTGCATGGATTTAGCAAAGGGAAATGGGATCGTTCTGTTCATTGTAACATCAAAGCAGCCATATGCTTTGGAAGTGAAGTTCTCATTAGCTTAATAATTTGGTCTTTTTCAAGTTTTCTGAACCAGAATAGGGGAAAGTACAGCAAGAAGAAGGGACTGGTATGTTCTAAAGGGCGTTGTCACAACCTGAGCGCGGAGAGTACGTTCTCATTACTTCTCTCTTCTGATTCCCAGATGTTTAGCACTGTGTTCAGTGGTCGGTACATTATTCTACTGATGGGTGTGTTCTCCATCTACACTGGCCTCATCTACAATGACTGCTTTTCCAAGTCTCTTAATATCTTCGGGTCATCCTGGAGTGTACGGCCGATGTTTACTTTATCTAATTGGACGTAAGTTACAGAAGATAAAAAAACAATGCTTACTCCTTTAATGTTCAGCTCTGATATTTTTAAAATTAAACATTGATTGCAATGCCAATATTACATATATTGGGCTGTTGGAAAGTCATGATGTATCTTTCTATGTATTTTTACATCATGACTTTTCTGATGAGCCAATATAAACATTATAACATAAATATCGCTTTTCACACACACATTTTTTACTTTTTTTTTTTGAGAGAAGTTTTTGTTATACGGCACGTGCACTCGCCAGAAAGACAGAGAGAGACAGAGAGATAGAAAGTGAGAAATCACCCCCCAGGAGTGATTGGCCACACCGCAATCCCTTCTCCTACTTTCTCTTCTCAAGATCTTGAGCACGCACGCACATGCGCCCAACGTGAGTTTAAGCCACCAGGTCTGGGACTTGAACCGCGGTCCAATACATGGAAGTCTAGCAACATAGCCATTACTCTAACAACTGGCCCGCCCAAAATTAATACCATGTGAGAAGGAATTGTGCAGTCTGGCAAAAGGCCATTTCAAAGCAAGATCTTTGGGATCAGGTTACAGGGGTTCATATTCCTGAAATGCCATTCATGGCATGGCTATTCTTGGGGAATTTATTTGTCATCTTTGCCTCAGCTTCTCATGCATGTGGCTCCAAGGGGCGTGGAAAGAATCCGTTCAGCCTCCACCTCTGCAGATAGATAGGCATAGACATTTTCTGGTGCAGGAAAACAGCACAATAAACACCACCCCAGTACAGTTTCCCTATTATTTGAGAGGAAAAGTAAAGTCTCCAACAAGCGTACCATCCCAAGAGTCTAAAGTAGCCCTCTGAGTTGTGAACCCAGAGTTCGAGGCCTTGAAGCTTCACTGTAGTATGAGTGTGCGAAGAATCTGGTATGGTACCTTCCAACAGGGATCATGGCCAGTCTTTCTCTGGTGTCATTTCTGGAAGACCCAGTCTCTCTCTGAGTTCTAGACCATGAAGGGTTTGATTGTCCTCAGTCACTTGATCACAGAAAGCATCCTTTCCTGAGGACCTCCAGGTGCTGCAAGAGAGCAATGGACATAAATGGTCCAGTGGGTACCTTGCGTGGTCTCTCGATGCTCCCAGGGATCACTGGAATCTCTCCTTCAGATCTCATGTCTGACACAAAAGCTGTTGGAAGGAAAACTTTAGAGAAGTCTACTCTAGCAAAGTTTAATTGAGAAAAAAAGAGAGAAAGATCTCACAAATCAGACAGCCCCCAGAATGGCTTTTGCAGAACTCTCAGCTCTGATTTTTCAGACAAGCAGTAAATTAACTTCTTTAGGAACTAGTTGACAATGTCTGTGTTTCAGAAGAATGCTGTGTCTCCTCTTATTTATGTGCCAACCTATGAAGTGCTTTGTGATTTGTTAAGCAGGTATCAGGGAACTAGTACTATAAATTAAATCCTTTTTTTTTTTTGTAAGTTAGAAGCAGATTCTCCAAATTCCCTACTTGATTGTGTATGTATGCATCTTTTTTTTTCTTTTTGTTATCTACAATCCCTTATTCTCAACCTTAGTTAGTCCTTCTTTATTGAAGAGATAAGATAGCTATAGTAGTTTGGGGTCAGTTTCTGGACCCCAGAATTTTCTGTCTTGATCAAAATTAATGTGACCTTTCTATTCACATTGGTAGGGAGGAAACGCTTAAAGGGAACCCCGTTCTCCAGCTGAACCCAGCCATCACTGGAGTTTTTGGTGGACCGTATCCTTTTGGCATCGATCCGGTAAGAGAGTACTTCTTTCTTGTATGCCAACCCCAAATTTTAAAACTGTCGTTCTGAAGTGAAAGAATTAAAGTAAAGATAAATCATTGTTTGGGTTTTAGTTGACATGTTTTTGGAAAACCTTGATGTATCTGCTCAGAGTACTTAAACCATGAGACCAAGTCCTTGGAGAGCCATGTATTTTATTTCTGTACTATTTATTTCTGAGATAGCTAGTAATATCAACTCTGGGAAGGCTGATTTTCAAGACTCCCTCCCAGTTCTTAACTTATTTCTACTTAGTTTGTTTTCTTTATTTTTAGTAGATGTTTTAACAAGGCAGAAATATTTCTTCCCTGTGGATTTCAGACTTCCATTCTTTTCTTTCCATATTTGCAAAACCTTATCCAAGAATTTGCTTTTTTCAAGTACTTGGCAAATAAAGTATGATCAAATATTTTCCTTTTTTAAAAAAGTTTATTTATTTTTCTCTTTCATCAGCAAGACAGAGAGAGAGCAGCTTCAATGGGTTTTGATGCCCCAGTCCACTCCCAGCTTCAGCTATTCCTGAACCATGGTACATACATACCTGCCATACTCTGGGAGAGCTCCAGACTTGCGCTGTGAACTTTCTCATGTGGGATTGCCTTACAAAACATTGCATTTTGTGGGGGCTGGCAGGTGGCATGGTGGATGAGGGCGCTGGGCTCCCACATGACCAACTACAGTTCGAGTCTCGGACCTGGTGGCTTGCTTTCTCACTTTCCCTCTCTCATTCCCTCTCTCTCTGTGTCTTTCTGGTAAAATTTAAAAAAAAAAAAAGAAAGAAAGAAAAAAAAGAAAGAATAAATATTTAACAACAAAAAAATTGTATTTTGCCACTTTGCCACCACCTGGTCCCCAAATCTTTTTTATTTTGTGCTAAAAAAAATAACTGGAGGCCAGTGCTCTGGCTTAGTAGATAAGGGAACTGGATACTACATGACTGACTGTCATTCAGGTCCTAGCCCTGACAGCTTGAAAAGCACGCCAGGTGTGTGTGCACTCAAAATCCCAACAGGTTGGAGAGATGGAGGAGAAGGAATTGCAGTGTGACTATGCCCCGTTAAAGTATGCTTTCTCTTGGGACCAGCAGTTGGCGAAAGGGCTTTGTCGCTGGACTCCCATGTAGTCCACTGCAGTTTGAGCTTAAACTGTAGTTTAAGCCCGGTGCCTTAAACTCACACTGGGCGCATGTGCGTGCATGCCCAGGATCCCAAGAGGAGAGTGGAGGAGAAGGGATTGCAGTGTGGCCATCCCCCCCTGGGGGGTGATTTCTTGCTTTCTGTCTGTCTCTTTCAGGCGAGCACACATGCCCTATAGCAAAAACCTCTCCAAAAAAAAGAAAAAAAAGGTGTGCTTTCTCTCTCTCTTTCTCTGCCTGTCCCTCTCAATCTCTGTCTCTCTCTGGGGAGTCCCTGTACCCCCTGGGGGGAAAAACTAATGAATGAGTGAGGCAAGAATTTACGAATAATTATCAGAAAGTAAGGATTATGAAATTCCAGAGGAAATACAGTTTACTATGGACTGGAAAGATTAAGATTTCTTGTAGAGAGTGGGAATTAATCTGACCTTTAGAAAAGTTCACGTCGTTGTACATAAGATGTGCAGAAAGGTACAAAGTTAAGTACTTTAATTATAACAGAAGCTGATACTACTGAAATGCTTACTGTGGGCCAGGCACTGTGCTAGCTCTTCACACATGTGATTTACTCCTCAGACAATTCTGTCCGACGGGCGCTGCTGTCCTTGTTACAGACACAGTGAGACTGCAGCTTGAAGTCTCATGATATGTTACATGCTCGCTTAGTAAATATTTATTGAATCTTTATTGTCACAAGGAAAAAACATAATTTAAAAGCACAACTCCTGCCCTTAAAAACTTGGCATCTACTTCCTTTCTTGCTTTCCCTCTGGTCCAATAAATAAATAAATAGAGTTAAATAAAATAATCCTTTGAAGGAAAAAAGAAAGAAAGAAAGAAAAAAGAGCTTGGCATCTAGTAACAGTAATATTATCATATAGTAATTCTACGATTATACAAATGTTTTGGCTTGGTGTCTTACAGATGCCTCGTTTGTTACTTATGGAGTAGAGGCTGGGTTTGCAGTACCAGTGGAACACCCGGGTTTAGATTTGCATCAGGTAGTTGGAGTTGCAGAGCTGAATTTCAGGTGAACTGGTGCTGGAGAGAGAACTAGTCACAGGCTCCTGTAGAGGTCACTGAGGATACATTCTTGTGGACAAAGCAGTTCAGAAAGAAAAGAAGCTAGGCCGGATGGTGAAAGCCCCACGTTAGGCTGCAGAGTTGGCACTTTAGCCTAAAGGTGACAGTGGGGCTTCAGGGAACATTTGGTTCAGGAACATGACTGGATTAGAGTCCTGATTTAGGAAATGTGACCTGAAGGCCAAGTGGCAGAGAAAACTATCGGGAAAGTATTATTGGCATCAGGCCTTGAGTGACAAGAGCTAAGGCAGTTGATACTTAAAAATAGAATGACAGCATCACAGGGATAAGATCAGCAAAAGAGACTGGGAATCTATGGGAAAGTGACCCAGTTTCTTTCTTGCTTTTTATATTTTTTGCTATAGGATGCTGCACTTGCCAGAGAGACACAAAAGGAGATAGAGAGAGGGAGAGAGAAAGTGAAAAATCACCTCCCAGGGGAGATAGCTATACCACAATCCCTTCTCCTTTTTCCTCTTAGGATTTTGGGCACAAACACACATGTGCATGGTGTGTTCCTCAAGCCACCAGATCTGGACTCAAACGGCAGTCAGCCATTTGGGATCCAGCTGCCCACAACCTCCGTGCCACCTGCTGGTCTACAACCCAATTTCTGTAATAAATATTTCCTAAGGAATTAAGAAAAGATGGAGGGGACCAGCAGATGGTATAATGGTTACATAGCTGGACTCCCATGTAGTCAACCATGGTTTGAGCCCTGAACCTGGCAACATAAAACTCATGCCAGGGGACCAGCAGTTGGCATAATGGCTATGCTGCTGAACTCCCATGTAGTTGACCGCAGTTCGAGTCTTGGACCTGGTGGCTTAAACTCAGGCCAGGCACGAGTGCGTGCATGCATGCCCAAGATCCTGAGAGGAGAATAGACGAGAAGGGACTGCGGCGTGGCCAATCCCCCTGGGGGGTGATTTCTCGCTTTCTGTCTCTCTGTCTCTCTCTGTCTTTCTGGCAAGCACATGTGCCCTATAGCAAAAACCTCTAAAAAA